AAGGGGAAACAACTTTATTGACCTGGAATCTTCCATATTTTGTAGAAGTTCTGGAAACTACTAAAGCAGGCTTGGGTAGGCTTTGGAAGGTTGCATGCATAGGAAGTGGATGCTTATCTTTGGTAGGAGTTATACATGTCTATTTCACATTCACTGGTAAGGAAACAAATGGATCAAAATATACAATAATATGAAGCTTTACTGCATTGTTTAAAATTACAGGGTTTTTTTTTTTTTCATAGAGACCTTGAATCTTGCTGAAAGTAAGATAAAAGATGTTCCAGCAGTAACTTAGCTATCCTGAAAGTATCTTCCTACAAGAGTGATTTGGCCTCTAAAGTTTATGAATTACAAGGGAACAGTGTCTTTTTTTGTTTTTTCTTTTGTTGTCATTTTTGGTCTCTTTTAGCCAGCCAAGATGAGGATTGAGATCTTCATCAAAGCCAAGTAAGAGCTTCCCTTGGTTCAGGAAGGACCAAGTGCAGGTTTGCTGAGAACTATGAATGCATTCAGCTATTTATTCCCAGGTGTTGCACTGGTTGCCTTGTACGGATTTCACTGGTGCTGCTGTTTACAATTCTCATTGCAAACACAAAGATTAGAAAAGGACACCAAATAAATGAGACAGCAATCATCAAGACAATTACTCAATAAAAGAACAGAGATAAAAACAGTAGGGTCAACAAAAGGAAAACCATATAAATCACACAAAAGATGAGAGAGAACCAGTGAGTCCTCTTCTCCAAATCTGGAAAAATGAAGATGATTTTTTTTAATCCTGATATTTAACTAAAAAAAATAGATTAAGTAATTACTTCTTCAGGGAGGTAAAAGCCCCCAAAAGGATCCTCCCCAAGCAGATATTCTTAGACAGAAAGCCATAGTCAGCTGATTCTTCCTCCAGGCAAGTAATAATAATACCAATAAAAATAATGGATTCCCTAATTTAGGTATTTCATTAAATTGAATCACAAATATGGCAGTCTCACGTCCACTTGAAATCAGTCAATTTTTGTCAACATTAAAATGGCAACAGATACCACTGGGCATGTCATTTATTTATGGGGAACTTTGCCAAATAAAAATCTATTGTTTGCTGTAAGGAAAACTCATTGGCTATTTTTAAAACAGAGATTGGTAATGATTTCCTCTTGACAACTGTTCACACACACTAGTGTGTGCTCATCCTAGTCCGGTGGAAACTTTGCAGTTAAAAAGATTTCAAATAAGTCACTGCTCTCAAGTGTTTTCAATCCTGTTCAATTCAGCGCTGAATGAAGCTGGTTAGGAGGGAAACTGCTTGTCTTTCCAAATTCAGTGTTCCAAAAACACATTGTTATAGTTAGTGAACACTACATGAGCCATCTAAATTTAGCAAACATTTTCATTCCCTTGCCCAAGCCCACCCACCGCAGTGGATGGAACTTTGATTTCATCCACCCTCATCTGGTTAATGTAAACCCCTTGGGTTCTACAAAGCCTGCTGAGCAAGAAAGCTGAATGCAGAAATGTTAGGAAAATATGTAACCTTTGGACCTAAAGAGGAGTGCAGGGGTGGGGGCAACTAAGACTACATTGACTAATTTCAGTTGGCTTTTAAACTATTCCTCACCTTATCCACATCAGATCTCCTTTGTTTGCCTGGGGAGCACCTGGAAACATGCCTAATTAGGGGAAGCTGTTTATCTGAGGAGCTGGCCTTCAGCACTCATGGCGCCTCACCTCTGAGCAAAGGTCAGGTTAGGACATCATAGCTCCCTTCCATGTTGATGACTGTGAGTGCAGTCATGTTTAAAAATTTGTAGGCTTAACATGGAGTCTGGATTACCAAGGTTGAATGGAAGCTGCCTTGTACAGTATAGGACTGATGTAGGGAAAGAAAACTTGCTCCATACAATGCTATACATAGTAGGTTGTCAATAAATTATGGGTGAATAAATAAATTGTAGCCATCTCTAAGCAAAAGGCCAAATCTATGGTCTTGAATCAAATCTGCAGAGCAATTTTTCTCAAACTTTACTGCTTAAGTGCAGCAAAGAATGTGAGGAGGTAGAGAAAAAAGAATGATCTAAGATTAGGCAAAAACAGGTCATTGTAAGAATTTCTTTGAAGTCTTAAAAGTTCATGCAAATTTTATACTCCACCCCATAGTAGGATATAAACATTTAGCTTATGGCTTCAGGTACCATGCTGCCAAATAGTGTGGGTAACATGGCAATTTGTCATTCTCTCTGTTATGTTAACTAAAGAAAAGTTTAGAAAAAGACTTTGTGAATGACATATCTACCTTGAATTTATATATCAAATGTTTGTGTAAATTATATGTAAATCTTTTTAATTTTATTTTTGGAATTTCATTATCAATCAGTAGATGCATTTTGATGTTTTCAAATGATTAGAAAGATTTTATACCTTAATATATTGAGGTCTGTATTAGGGGAGAAAAGCAAGTAATGAATACAGTAAGTAACCTTGTATTAACCACTTGGTATGTATCTGTCACTACTACAGTATAGAATTAGCTATTAGAAAAAAATTGCTAACTAATCTTCCAACATATGTGCTATGAAGATAAATGATTTAAAAAAAAACCCTCTTGACATTTAGATACATTGCTTTATAATAACACCTTCTACAAATACAATGAGGATGCTATCTACAAGTTTTCTTCAGAGAGATGAAAATAAAGTTCCATTTTCCCTTTCTTATAGTAGCTGCTACAAATAAAAGAGAACAAAATTTCCCTACTTTTAATGCATTGAAAATAATCCACACTTACACCATAAGTGCTGAGTTCTTATACTTAGATACTAAGTTCTAGTTGTGAGTTTCAGGCAAGTGTGATAAATACTAAAATATGCAAATTAGATTCCTATTGTTCACTTGGGTTATGTTTTATTAGTGTTACCCAAAATTCTTGGATATTATATAATATATTGGATATTTTATATATCTTGGATATATATATCTTGGATATTGGAGATATATATATATATATATATATATATATATATATATATATATATATATATATATATATATATATATATATATATATATATATATAATCTCCATCCCTGCAGAATTGTCCAAAATCAGGGCCAGGGGCAGACTTTTATATCTCCATGTTGACCAGGGGACATAACCTTAGGTGAAGTAGCTGTCTTCAGGATAAGGCCAATCTCCTCAGGGGCCTCAATCATGAGCTATCAGTCATCAACATGCAGCCAATAGGGGAATTAGTGTTTCAGTCTTAAAGCAGGTAGGATGGGTAATCAGGCCAACATACTACAATGACTACTACAGTAACCTCTGTTCGGTCTCCAGGATCATACAGGAACTCAACTACTTTCTCTTAGAAGGCAGACACAGTATTCTCACTATCCCCGTGCCTTAACACAGTGCTTGACACCTAGAAAGTGCTCAGTGAGTTTGTTGACTAGCATTCCCCTGAAAATCAGAGTCAGGCTTGTGCTTCACGTGACACTAAGTTCAAAAGGACAAACAATCTTGGGTTCCAAACTGTGAAGGCAAAATCAAGTCCCTTTTGAAGTAGAAGGAAATTGTGGGCAAGGATAATTGTCAGATAATGTCAGAGAATGCTGTGTATAAAATATACATGTGGAAGAAACTCTCCTAAATTGATTTCATTATATTTTATTTTAATTATGACTGGTTTATTAGAATCAGCTCACTGCTTCTGCAGATTTCAATAAGTAGTGGTTTGGTGGGAAGGAATCTGCTAAGATGTAATCTTAAACATGGATTGTTTTGAATAAATGATTTCATTCATTTAGCTTATGCTTAATACATATTCATTTGTGTATCAGGGACCATGATGTACATATAAAGATAAGTAGTGCTTGACTCTTTCATAGTCCTGGGAAGAAACCAGCACAAACTAATGATTATAGGAAATCAAGGTAAGAATTTTGTTGGAAAGGACAGAAGAGCCACTTCCAGAAAACAGCAGCAATGGTGTCATTAAAAAGATGAAGTTTCATTAATGTCTTTATGTGTACACCTCTCTTTCAGTGTAGAATCTAGTTATAAGAAAAATATCTAGGGGCACCTGGGTGGCTCAGTTAAGCATCTGACTTTGGTCAGGTCATGGTCTCACAGTTCGTGAGCTCAAGCCCCGCGTCGGGCTCTGTGCTGACAGCTGAGAGCCTGAAGCCTGCTTCAGATTCTGTGTCTCCTCTCTCTCTGCCCCTCCCCTGTTCACATTCTGTCTCTCTCCCTCTCAAAAATAAATAAACATTAAAAAAATAAAAGAAAAATATCTAATATCTTCAGTGCATGTGGACCTCCCAGCATAGGAAGATTAGAACTGAGTCCTTAAAACATTCTAGGAATTTTTTAGTATTGAGAATTTTTGTCTTCTGCCATCTCTAAGACCACACTCCTTTTTATAACTTCCATCCCCCCTATTTGTGAGCCACAGTGTGTCAGTGAAACATCAAAAGGAGAACAAAAAGAAAATTAGACCCAAATATGACTGAATGTGATTTTCAGAGCTGTACAAATTGAATAATACCAAAATTCATACAAAATCCTCAACATTTCTGTTGTGGTGAAAGAGTTTCTAATTGTCCCTGCTCCTTCCCAACTGCCTTTACAAAGATATATTTTTTGTTGTTGTTAACCATCTGCTAATTAACAGAAATGGAACTCTTACGTGTCATAGAGCCTTGTGACAACCAAATCTAATTGCTCAAGATTGATCTTTCCTTCCTTTATCTCTTTGTCTTCTTTCCTTCTTCCTTCCTTCATTAATCTTCGAGCAAAGTATAAAGTACAAGGATAAAAAGGCATGACCCCTACATATACATATATGCATATTGATACATGCATGTATATGATATACATGTATATGTATGCACATACATACAGTGCACAGTTGCCATTTTAAATACATATATAGTAGTATGCAGAAGAGGCAGTTACACAATTTGGGAAAGAAATTCAAGGAAGGCCTCTCACGGGTCCTCGTTTCCAAGATGACCAAGAAAAGAAAGAACAATGGTCATGCCAAAAAAGGCCGCGGCCACGTGCAGCTTTCTGGCTGCACCAACTGCATCCATTGCGTGCCCAAGGACAATGCCATTAAGAAGTTCGTTACCTGGAACATAGTAGAGGACGCCGCAGTCAGAGACATTTACCAAGCGAGTGTTTTCGACGCCTATGTGCTTCCTAAGCTATATGTGAAACTACATTACTGGGTGAGTTGTGCCGTTCACAGCAAGATAGTCAGGAATTGCTCTCGTGAAGCACAGGAAGGACAGAACACCGCCACCTTGATTTAGACCTGCGGGTGTTGCCCCACGATCTCCACCAAAGCCCATGTAAAGAGCTAAGTCCTTAAGGATTGAAGAAAAACTGTTCTCTGGAAAAATAAAACAGAGATTATACTTAAAAAAAAACAAAAAAAGAAATTCAAGGAAGGCTTCCTGAGGATTAACACCTAAGTGATAAATGATGATGTGGTAGTAGCTACCCTTTAAGATGGCCCCCAAATGATCTTCATCTCCTGGTGTTCACATCCTTGTGTAGTGTCTTCCCACAGTGAAGCAGGGCAGACCTGCATGACCAAGAGAGGACTGCAGTAAAAATGTTCTCTAACTTCCAATGCTAGAAAACAAAAGGCTTTGCACCTTCAGCCTTGGTCTCTTGGATTATTTGCTCTAGGAAAGCCAGCCCCCATGCTATGAAGACTCTCAAGCAGCCCTAAGCAGCGGCCCATGTAGAAGGGCCACCTGCCAACAGCCAGCCCCAACGTGCCAGCCATGTGATTGTGCCACTTTGAAAATAATCCTCCAGTACAGTTAAGTCTTCAAATGGCTCCAGCTGACACCTGACAGCAACCCTTGAAAGACCCAAAGCAGAATTGCCCAACTAACCCACTTCCAAATTCCTGCAGAGACACTCTGAATAATAATAAATATTTATCATTGCTTTAAGTTATTAAGTCTTGGGGCAATATGTTACACAACAATAGAATACTAATATAGTTGGGCAGGCTTAGGCAGGTGAAGGTCATGGGAGTTTAGTGAAGAAGGAAAATGGAAGGTGTTCTATGAAAAACAGAAACAACAAAAGCTCTGAATATGTCAGGAGCTAAAAATGAAACTAGTGCAAGAGAGTTAATCTTAGGATAGAAAAGTTTTTTTGTTGTTGTCGTTGTTGGTTTTTTCTAATGTGGTTGGAGAGGTAGCCAGAGCCAAGACATGAAGTGTTTTATTAGTTAATAATTTGAAGTGGATCCCAACAAAGATTCTCAACAGTGGACTCTCTGCATCTCTAGGTTCAGCGGAATTTACAGAGTTAAAATCTTTGTGGGCATAGCCTTCAAATATGCTTTTTAATAACATCCTCAGCTGATTCTCAAGTCCATGCAAATTTAAGAATGTGGTGACAAATGAAGAGCAATTGACAACTTTTTAAGAAAAAAAGAACTTAGTCAAAACTGAGTTTCAGATGGACCATGGCAGCTATGTGGTGAGTGGATTGGAGAGGGACAGACTGTTCACTGGCAGGCAGTTAAAACAGTTTTCACAGGGAAAGCTGCTTGCTTTCCAATCAACCTAGCTGAAATCCTGTGTCTGATATCTGCTTATTATCCAGGGCATCAAATTCAGACCTAATCTGGCTTTTAAAATCTAGCAATAGACCATACTATCTAATAATAGCTAATGTTTAGTGTACATTTATTATCTGCCAGGCATGTTAAGAAGCACTTTTATAACGCATAGAGAAGCTAAGTGAGTAGTTCAAGGTCACAAAGCTGGTAAGTGGCAGAGCCAGGACTCAAACCCAGAGCCAGTGTTCTCACTCAGTGTCTTCTAATGTGGTTCCTGTACTTCACAGTTTGTTATCCTGCAATGGGGTCCCCATGGAACACTTATCTATTTACCTTCAAAAATTTCACATAGCTAGTTGATCTTCACCACTCTGATTTTCTGTATAGCGTTTATCCTCCTGACATGTTTTCTCTGTTCCTAAAGCAGTGGAGAAAACACCAGCTCTGGAGTCTGTTGTGTTCAAATCCTGCCTTTGATTAATTAGATATATGATCTTAGAGAAGTCTTTTAAACTCACAATTTGTTTTCTCATCTGTAAACTGGTAATAAAAAAAATGTTTATAAGATTATTGTGACAATTGGGTAAGAAAACATTTTTAAAATGCTTAGTATACCTCCTGGCCCATATGAGGTGCTCAATAAATGGTATTTTTCTGTCTCTTTCCTGTCAATGTCTTCTACAGTTCAGAGGTCACAAATTCATGAACTTGAGAGCCATATGCATCTACTAGATACATTTAATTTGGTTGGTATAATGTTTTTTTGATGTGTGTGTTAAAAAATACATAGCATAAAATTTACCATCTTAATCATTTTTAAGTATACAGCACTATAGTGTTAAATATATGTACATAGTTGTGAAATAGATCTCTAGAACTTTTTCATCTTGCAAAACTGAAATTCTATATCCATGGAACAACACCCCCTTTTGTCCCTCTCCCTAGCCTCTGGCAACTACCATCCTACTTTGTGTTTTAAAGAGTTTGACTACTTATACAGGTAGAATCATGCAGAGTCTGCCTTTTTGTAACTGGCTTATTTAACTTAGCATAATCTCCTCCAGGTTCATCTATGTTGTAGCATATGCCAGAATTTCCTTCTTTTTAAAGGCAGCATAATATTCCACTGTATGTATATTTCACACTGTTTTTATCCATTCATCTGTCAGTGGGCATTAATGTTGCTTCTGCTTTTTGGAACTTTTAAAATTAATTCTGCAATGAATATGAGTGTGCAGTATCTCTTCAAGGTCCTGTTTCAATTCTCTTAGATATACACCCAGAAGTGGAATTGCTGGATCATACGGTAATTCTATTTTTAATTCTTTGAGGAACTTCCATATTGTTTTCTGTAGGGGCTGAACCATTTTACATTTCTGTTAAAAATGCATAAGGCTGGGGTGCCTGGGTGGCTCAGTTGGTTAAGTATCTCGGCTCAGGTCATGATCTCAGGGTCATTAGATGGAGCTCCACATCATGCTCTGCACTAAACATGGAGCCTGCTTAAGATTCTCTCTCTTCTGCTCTCTCAGCCCCTCCCCCACTCACTCAGGTGCACACATGGGCAAGTGCTCTCTCTCCCTCCCTCTCTAAATAATAATAATAATAATAATAATAATAATAATAATAATAAAAGTACACAAGGGTCCAATTTCTCTACATCCTCACCAACACTTGTTATTTTCTGTTTTATTTGTTTGTGTGTGTGTGGGGGGGGGGGTGTTTGTTTTGCTTGTTGTTTCCTTTGTTTTGCTTGAGTGTTTCCTTTGTGGTAGTTTTTAAGTTTGATGTAGTACCGTTTGTCTATTTTTTCTATTATTGTCTGTGCTTTTGGTGGGTCATATCCAATAAATCATTCCCAAATCCAATATCATGGAGATTTTCTCCTATGTTTTCTTCTAGGAGGTTTATAGTTTTAGGTCTGACATTCAGGTCTGTCTTAGTTTATTTAGGCTTATTATCACAAATACCATAGACTGGATGACTAATGAACAATAGAAATGTATTCCTTACAGTTTTTTTTAAGAATATACTTAAAAGAATGCTTGTTTGTTTGTTTATGTCTGAGAGAGAGGGAGAGCACAAGCAGGGTAGGGGCAAAGAGCAAGGGGGGTGTGGGGGACACAGAATCTGAAGCAGCCTCCAGGCTCTGAGCTGTCAGCCCAGAGCCTGACATGGGGCTTGAACCCATGAACTATAAGATTATGACTTAAGCCGAAGTTGGACATCTAACAGACTGAGCCACCAAGGCACCCCTATTTCTTACAGTTCTGGGGGTAGAAAGTCCAAAATCAAAACAGAAGCAAATTTGATGTCTAGTAAGAGCCTGCTTTCTGATTATTAGTTGACTATCTTCTTTCTCTGACCTCATATGGCAGAATGGGTGAGGGAGCGCTCTAGAGTTTCTTTTATAAGAGTATTAATCCCATGCATGACGGTCCACCCTCACAACCTAGTCACCTCCCAAAGGTCCCACCTCTAAATATCATCAGATTGGGGGTTAGTTTCCAACATAATTTTGCAGGCACACAAACATTCATTCACTGGGCCCCAAAAATTCATGTCCTTCTCATAGCAAAATACAGTCATTCCATCCCAATATCTCCCAAAGTCTCAACTTATTCCAGCATCAACTCAAAAGTCTAAAATCCAAAGCCTTATCTAAATATTGTCTAAATTAGATAGAGGTGAGACTTGAGGTATGATTTATCCTGAGGCAATTTCCTCTCCAGCTGTGAACCTGTGAAATCAAACATGTTATGTGCTTCCAAAAGACAATTGGATAGGCATAGAACAGGCATTCCCATTCCAAAAAGGAGAAATAGAAAAGGAGTGACAGGTCCCATGTAAGTCTAAAACGTAACAGGGAAAATTCTATTAGACCTTAAGGCTTAAGAATAATCTCTCTTTAGAGGTGCCTGGGTGGCTCAGTTGGTTAAGCATCTGACTTCTGCTCTGGTCACGATCCTATGGTTCATGGGTTTGAGCCCTGCATCGGGGTCTGTGCTGGCAGCTCAGAGCCTGGAGCCTGCTTTGGATTCTGTCTCCCTCTCTCTCTGCCCCTCCCCCTGCTCATACTCTGTCTCTCTTTCTCAAACATAAATAAACATTTAAAAAATTAAAAAAAAAAAAAAAGAACACTCTTTGGCTTGCTATTCTGCCTTCTAGAACCATAGGGCTAACACTGTCACCCCCAAGGCTTAGCAGAACATTCCTATGGCCAGCTCTCTGCTGGGGCCTGCCTCAGTAGTTCTCTCAGAATGAGGTTGAAATCCTATGGTTCCAGGAAGCTCCATCCTATGAAACCTAGGTAGAGGCAGTCGTGCCCCTTGGGCCTGTGGTGGCAGAGATGGCACCACACAGATGCCACCAAAACTTGCTGCCTGTTCTGCTCTGCACTGGGGCCCGGGGGAGCAGCACCTGTGGTGGCTGAGGAGCATGGTGCTATGGAGCAAAGAGCAGAGCCCTGAATGTGAGGCAGTGCTGGGTAGCAAGCACCAAGGTTCTTCAAGTGCCAGAAGCCCCTCTTTTGAAACTGTTCTACCCTATGAGCCCTTGCACTCTTCGCCTGTGATGGGAGTGGCAAATCTGATGATCTCTGAATTGCCTTTGGGGTCATTCTTCCATGGTCTTATAGAATAGCTCTGCCTCAAGTTAAGTTGGCCCACTTCACTTATTTCATTAAACTATCACATGGCTACACCCTTAGTGTTTAATTTAAAAAAAAAAAAATTTTAATGTTTATTTATCTTTGAGAGACAGAGCATGA